TCAATTGGGAAAATGGTGGACTTATTTTATGAGTTACCCATTGAAATCAACAACTCAAGACCACTAAGGATTGATAGCTTAGGAATTGGCAAACTATGCATGGTAGACATGGTAGATGGGATGATTTTGAATGGCCCTCACACAGTAGAAGAGAGAACCTTTTTCCTCTTTCCCTCAAACTCCATTCATTTGACAGAACACAGAAGTCTTTTCTCAGATGCATGGTGGGAGTCAAAAACCATTGTATGAAATATTTGTCAGGATTCAGAACTGTACAGCCTTCTTACACAATGGACAAGTGAGGAAAGAGAGGGAGGGAGAATACAATAACTTTGGATATGTATATAATAAGGGAGTGGGGTGGATGAGGAGGATGGGTAGGGCCAAAGCAAGTGAAAGGGAGCTGAGAGACTGGAAAGGCTTTGCTGGCCTATATGTAGGGCTACTCCTATATAATTAAGGCAAGATTGGGGCTGGGCTGGGCTGGGGAATGGCAGACTTTAAAACAATTACCTTCCTGTCAAGCTTCCTTGTTGTTGCTGGTATCCTGTAAGCAAGACCTCCAGAGACCATGCCCTAGAGGAGCTAAACCACTCAGCTTTGAAACTCCATGCTGTCCTGATTGATGAGACCCCACTATATCTAGCCAGCATCTCTTCCTCTAGCCCTACTTTCCACTTCTTGCTCAATGAACAGTGATCAAATTAACATCACCATTGTTTCTGGAAAGACAGTGTCAAATGACTGCCCTTTGGCTATATTCATCATCTCTGTGACTTCTCAGATCACAACACCCTTTCCTAGCCATAACTCCCTTATTTTTATCTCCCCCATTAGAATATTAGCTCTTTGAGGGCAAAGATTACCTCTCTTTTGTATTTGTATCTCCAGCATTTAACACCTTGCCTGAAACACAGCAAGTATTTAATAAATTATTTTTCATGCATTCATACATCCATGTATTCATTCATTCAAGATAGGCCTTATCCCCTAAACTGTTTTTTCTCTTTCTCTCCCCACCCCCTGCACTCATTTGTAGGAAAGTGCATAAAGGGTTTTGAGACTCAGAAATTGCTGCATCCTGAGAACTCTAGCAGTTTGTCGGTGTGGGGAGGGGGGAGCCTCTAAATGGGATATTGAATAGCGTAAGGGGAACAGGGCAGCCCAAACAATCACCCAACCCCACTTAACATATGTGACAAGATGCTACATGTTATCATTTAACCAGAGGAGAATATATCAGTAGGTGTGAACAAGGTTTGAACTAGGCTTTAGGTTAAATGAGAAAAGTAAAACCATTGGATGACCTGTAGTGGATTGACCAAGGCACTTGTTCTTGCCCTAAAGGGCTTATATAAAACCAGCAAACTAGGTAGAATAAGGTACTTGAGCATCTGCTAGTAGAGAGAAATCTCCAGCCAAATCCCTGTGAAGGAACTATTTGGAGTCAGAATGGGGATAGCACTTTGGACTCAGCCTCTGAGTGCTAGCATTGTCCTCTTGGGACTAAAGATGGCAACCACTGCTGTCAGTTGTCTATAGTAGGAACTGAGGATAGACTGGACTGGTTGCAATGAGGAAGGGCAATCACAAGAGTCTACAAGGAGTCCAGCAGACAAGCTTTATTATACCTAATGGTGGTAACTTGAAGACTCCAGAAAAAGGACTTCTAGGAGTTATGAGTAGTCCCTTTGTCAAATGTGAACACTATGCTTGAGCCCACTTTCCCCTGGGCTCTATATGTACTTGTCAGAGTGTGTCAGACTTTTGGGGGCAGTATTTTGTACCAACTTTGTCACCATAGAAAATATTTGTTTCTAAAAGATAACTGAGTATGGTGGATTAATATCAATTCATAATCATGGGGGAGGACCTACCCAGGTGGGGGTTCATGAGCTATGGAAGATTTGAAGTATACCACCAATCCCTTAGATAGTGATACTCTTAGATACCTTAAGGACCTTAGACACCCTTAGAACCCTGAGGGGAAATGTAGTAGCTCCCCTGGGGAGGATCTAACCTGTAAGTGGATTAGAAATAATTGTTCCAGAGTATGTGCTACTCCAGCTACCAAAGATTAGAATAAGAAGACAAAAGGAATGCTCCCTTTCAGCTAGAGTAAGATGTTTAACAGAGAGGCAAGTCCTGGTGACTAGAGTTTGCTTCTAAAGGTAGACTTGAACCTGAGGATATTAGCTAGCTGAGTGATCCTATTTTGTATGCTAAAGCTAGGTAGCACAGTGGATAGAGTGCCAGGCCTAGAATCAGGAAGAACTAAGTTCACATCTGGCCTCAAGACACTTACTAGCTGTGTGTCCCTGGGCTAATCACTTCACTCTGTTTGCCTCAGTTTCCTCATCTATAAAATGAGCTGGAGAAGGAAATGGCAAACCACTCCAGCATCTCTGCCAAGAAAACCCCAAATGGGATTACAAAGAGTCAGACATGATTCTAAATGACCGAACAACAAAACAACAAAGGTATAAAGAGCTTGGGTGAAGGAGCCATACAGACTACTCCTTGAGGAAAAAACAAAAAAGTCCTCCTCTCTTGCCCCATAGTGAAGGAAGTTTAATGTGGTAAAGTTTGATGATTTTCTGAAAGCTGTAGAAAGCCTTGGAGTTTTAAATTTTTTATGTTTTATTTTATTTTTAATTTATGGAATAAAAGAAGCATTTCTGTCATATAGTGTAATAAAAAAAATAAAGATAACTGCACATGAAACTACAAATCTATTATGTACAACTTGCTATTCCTTTTAAATATACCATAAAGTTATCATGTAAATTTTTTAAAGGTAGAGCCCACTTTTCTCATGATGGAGAGAAATAACGCTCCAGCTGAGAATCCCAGAATCTGGAACAGAAAGAAGAGCCAGATCTGGCAGCTGTGGGACTAGTGATAGAGTGTTTGGTAGAGACAACACGTCTTGGGGTGGGGGGACCTACAGAGAGACTGTGTTCCTGGTGTAGACCAGGAGGGAGCAGCCTAGGGAGAACAGTTCCAGAGCTTTGCCTGAAGCACAGATCTGATCAGATCACTTCCCTGCTCATTAAACTCTGGGGAATCCAGGATCAGACACAAACTCTTCTCTTGGGCACTTAAATCCCTTTACAATCTAGCTGCAACTTCTCCATATCTAGTCTGCCTCTGGATATTCACACAGTATAATAATAATATTATAATAATAATGTCAACACTAACAATAATATAATATTTATATAATAGCTTTGTTTGCAAAGCACTTTACATATATTATTATATTTGACCCCCATAACAACCCTGTAAGGTAAGTGCTATTATTATCCCCATTTTACAGACAGAAAAAAAAAATTGAGGCTGAGAGCATTTAAATGACTTGCCCAGAAATCATCTAAGGCAGGATCTGAATTCAGGTCTTCCTGACACCAAATCCAGCACTCTTATCTTTTATGTCCCTACCTCCATATTTTTGCACAGATTATTCTCCCATGCCTGGAATGTATTCATTCCTGATACTCTACCTTTCAAAATTTCTAGGTCCCTTCAAAGTTCAGCTCAAGTAAGTTTTGCCTCCCACATAAGGCTTTAGCTAATCTCCCAGCTACTAGGGTCTCTCCCGCTTTCTCTCCCGCAATTATTTTGTAAATACTCATATACAAAATATACTGTCCCTCTGATTGGCGGAGCTATTAACTCCAAACCTCCATTTAAGGGGAGAGCCCAGCTCGGACATCTCAGTGCTCAGCTGGCTGCACTACTTTGGGACTTCTCCGACTTGACCTAGCCTCAGGAAACTCATTATTGGGATAAACTCATCATCCAGTAAGGTCTTATTAACCTTGGGCCTCCAACTCATCTCTACTCTCCACCTCTTGGATTGGATTAGAGGGTGGGGCCATGAACTTCAAACCTCCGTTTAAGGAAGAGAGTTCAGTTCCCATATCTCTTTTCCCACATGGTTGCACTACCCTGGCATTTCTCTACCACGGCTCAGCAGGTACTTTCCTTATCCCCTCTTTCCCAACCACTTTTCAGTTTCCTATTGTGTGTGTCTTCTCTCATTAGAATATAAGCTCCTTGAGGGCAGGGACTGGTTTTTTTGCTTGTTTGTTTTTATATTTGTATATATACCAGGGTGCCTAGATATAGCGGGGCACTTAATAAATGTTTATTGACTATTGATTATAAATATCCACATCGTGTCCTCCAATACAATGCAAACTTCTTGAGGGCAATTTCGTTTTTGTCTTTGTATCTCAATTTCCTAGCAGAGTATTTGGCACAGTTGGTGCCTAATTTAATACAAACCTGTTTTTGATTGTTTAAATGCCTTTGCTTGAATGAACTATGCCGTCGGGCTAATAAAAGTTGGCACATTGGTAGAGTCTCATGGGTTACGGTTTTGAATGTACAGAGCACTGTGAACTTGGGGTAGCCTCCTCTGGGAGAGTCATCGTGAAAGTTAGGGGGTGCTCCCCAGGTGCTATCTAAGAGGAGGGCAACAATGTATCCATCTAAGGTGCTCTAAAACCCCTCGCCAGGTCTGTGTGGGAATCTTCAACTCAGTGATTCCTGATGCTCCTAGAGCCCTGGCCTCCTGGCTTTAGAAGAGGATAACAAGGGGGTCCATTCGTGTCTGCAGTTAAGACAAATTTGCTTTATTTTATGTTGTGTATTCCAGTTGTCTTTGCATTAATAGCATGGCGACTTTTGCCTCATCTTGAATATATAGAGTCCTTCTAAATGTTAAGATGAGTTTGCGATGTGTTAAGATCTGAAATTAAATGACTGCATGAAATCTTGGCAGGCCACTTCCATAGGGCTGCAGACTCCTGCAACGAGTCACTACTGATAGCTGATGACGGCCGCATTCCGCTTTGGAATCAGCGCCCACAGAGGTTTGCTCTTTAACTCCCCGGGTGGAAAGAGGTATAAATGAAGCGGCTCCACCTTCCAAGTTACTGCTGCTTTAAGGGGGCAGGGCTCGCCGGTTCCCGGAAGTTCTTCCATGCCCGTAGCTCAATCGCGTTTCATTTTGGTTTCCCAGATTACTACTCGGCCTTTGATCTCAGGATCTGAGCTGTGCTGGCCGCTGAGAGCCAGGGCTGGTCATTCTAAAGTAATCGGAGCCAGGACTGTGAGGAACTGCTCCGGGTCAGAGGGGCCGCAACCTCCCAGGGATGCCAGCTTGCCCTTGGGAATAAACCCCATTTCAACTTCAGAGCCAAGGAAACATGCAGCCGAGGAGGGAAACTGATCGGGTGGGGCAGGCTATCCTTTGGGTGAAATGTACCAGCGTGGGGTGGTAAGGCCATCACCAGGCCAGGGAGATTCATTCAAAAGGTGAAGTGGTAGGGCAGACGCTGACCGCTCCCTGTCGCCAGCCCGATCTCCTCTGACGAAGGTTAGATTGCGGGTTTGTAGCTAGGCGTCTACACTTGCTGGCCTGCCTGGAGCGGGTGGGGGGAGGGAATCTGAAGGTTTGGCCTGGCCTCCCCCAGGTAGGGGAGCAAGCAGGAATCCGTGCTATCGCTTGGTAGGGGTGAACCTGATGTTCACAGCTGCATGGGGGAATCTGTCTAACTATTATCATTTAGTTCTGGTCATTTAATCCCCGCCCCCCAAGATGGAAACAAGACAAATAGTTGCTCCTTGATAGCCCAAGGGATCCGGGTGTCCCTCACATTTAGGAAAGAAAAGAGTTGAGACCGCTTGCCTTTGTTTGCAGGGTCATCATGACTTCTTGGCGATTCTCTAGCAAGACTTACCTGTCACACCTAAGGTGCTTTGAGGTCAGGCAGAAATCTTGTTTGCTTAGATGGAGACCTAGACAGATTATATGCCCACCCAGTTCCAGAATTTGCTGGCTTCTTTGGGGCTCATTACCCAAACTCATTTTGACTTCAGGAGGGATCGCGATGATGTCCCCTGGAAGCTGGGGTCAGACAGGGACTTGTAAGAGTGCCCCTAAGGAAGTCAGGTTGGCAGGCAACGTTTCCAAAACTGGGTTCATAAACTGTCTTTTCTTGAACTTTGCCTTTGGCCTCCGAATATGGTTCCGGGCCTGTGTTCTGCTGGTGAAATTCACCCCTCTTCTTCTGCTCTACCCTCTCACCTGCCTGGTTCCCAGCTTCTACACCCTCTGGCTGAACTGGCTTCTGATGACTACGGAGTCTTCAGGCCCCACGTACATCAAACTGGGCCAGTGGGCGAGCACCAGGCGGGATCTTTTCTCTGAAGAGTTCTGTACCAAGTTCTCCCGGCTGCATGTTCAAGTGGCCCCCCACCCATGGGCTCACACCCAGAGCTTGCTCCAAAAGGTGTTCGGGAGTGAGTGGGGGCAAGCCCTTCACTTGGAGAGTCAGGAGCCGGTGGGCTCAGGCTGTGTGGCCCAAGTGTACAAAGCTTATGTGGACGCTGCCTTTCTTGACCATGCCTGCTTCCAGAAACTTGTGGAGGCCTCTAAGGGGACCTCCTCTTTTGAAGCCTGGGAGGTGGCAGGGCTGGGGAGGCTCTTAGGATATTTTTGGAAGGGGCAGAAGCCTAAAGGGACATTGACAGATCAAGTTTTTCCAGAAGATCTACTTCTCCCCGTGTCCTACCTGACTACATCAAAATGGGACACATCTCTTACCCCACCTGCTAACTGTCTACGTGGGCCAAAACACCTCATCCCAGCAGCTATTAAAGTAAGTTCATGCTTTTCTGGTGGGTCCATATCCCCTGCCTAACCAGGTCCTTTTCCTTCTCCAAAACTACTAAACAGTTACGCCCTGGAAAGATTAGCCCTATGCATGTGCCAAGGCCTACTTCTGCATCCCTTCCACTCATTTCTGCGGTTCACATTTTTGCCAAGTGCCTGCATGGTACCATAACATATAGATTTAATTGGTAACTTAGACTAATGGACCCTTAGCAGTGTAAGGGTCATTGAAATCATCCATTCTAACCTTTCTAATTTGATATGTGGGGAAACTGAAGTTACTTGTCTAATTGGTTTCCCTCAGTTCTCTGAATAGGAAGATCAAAGTGCTCTTCTATGGTTCTGGAGAAGACTGCACTGAAAATACTGATTGAAGCGATGATTGCTGAGCACCGGGGGATGTGGAGCCCAGCTTCTGCCTAGCCCTAGTCCGGCGTGTACTAGAAACGTTGTTGGCCAATAAAGCGTATCTCAGCCGCAGGTTAAGAAATGGAGAGCAGGGAGATGCCTTCTGTGATGAATGTCTTACTTTTGCCTTGGTGTGGCGCCAACCTGGTTTCCTGAACCTCGTAAGCATTCCACATAGCTGGGCTGGAAGTGCCCTGTCCTGGTCACTGCTGCTCCTTTTTTTCCTGCAGGTGCTACATCCTGGGCTCCTTGCTCAAGTACAGGTGGATTTGGTGCTGATGAAGACAGGCAGTCGAATCCTCGGACTCATTCCCGGAATCAAGTGGCTCAGCTTGACTGAGATAGTGCAAGAGTTTGAGAAGCTCATGGTCCAACAGGTGAGCACGTCTGGGGCCTCCCCTACTGTAGAGCAGTTATGGGAAGTGTACATGATATAGAGCGACTAATGACCAGCAAGTGTGAGTGTAGTGTTTGTACAATAGAGGAGGGCTCGAAGACCAAACTCTGGCCTGTTGGTTGTTCTGAATACACAACATTCCATCCTCTTCCATGCCTTGGACAACCTCCAGCCAAGGTTGTCTTTGCTTCATAGATTTCCCAGATTTCTTCAGGGCAAGGCTCGGGTTCAATCTCTCACATGAGGTCTTTACCAGTCTTTCCAGGAGTGGTCTCTCTCTTGAAATTGCTTTGTATAATTTTGTATTTACTTACGTTAGAAGATCTGTGTCCCAGGGACATAGGGTGGCCCATGTAATGTGAGAAGATAGATATCTGAGATTTGGGGAGAATGCAGTTTCCACATTTATGGGGAGGAGGAGGAGGAGGAGGAGGGCCATGTCTGGGAGTGCACTCTTTCCCTCTCCTATCTCTAAGAGGGACTTTGATCTAGAATTATATCTATCTATTATTCCCTTTGATGTGTTATCCTCCTCTATCATAACATGAGCTCCTTGCGGGCAGGGACTCTCTCAGGGATTGCTTCATATTTGTCTTTTTACCCTGGTATCTAGCACAGTGCCTGGCATGTAGAAGGTGACTGATAAATGTTTATTAAATTGAATTGAAGGAAGCGTAACAAACAAATTCATATGCTATGTTTTTGTTTTGTTTGCTGCCACCACAGCTTATCATTTGAGCAGTTAAATGCAGGACGGCTAGGTGGCTTGGTGGATAGAGTGTTGGGCCTGAGTTCAAATCTGGTCTCAGACACTTACTAGCTGTGTGATCCTGGGCAAGGCACTTCAGCCTGTTTGCCTCAGTTTTCTCATCTGTAAAATGAGCCGGGGAAGGAAATGGCAAACCACTGCAGTGTCTTTGCCAAGAAAACCTCAAATGAGGTCATGAAGAGTCAAACACGACTGAAATGACTCAACCACAGCAACAGAAGTAAAATGCAAGGTAGTTTGAAGGAATCAGGAAAGGCATCCTGTGGGAAATAATGCTTAAAGGGCATCTTGGAAGGAGAGAGGGATGCCGTGAGGTAGAGGTGAGTGCATTTTGGGCACGGGTTACGGCTAGTGCAGAGCCATGGAGATGGGACATGGAGTTGTGTTCCAGGATCTGAGAGAAGGCCAGTTGGGCTGCATTGCACAGAGAGAGAGAGAGAGAGAGAGAGAGAGAGAGAGAG